AAAAGAAGTATAGTATCTGTTATGTACTGATTGTTTTTAGTTTACTATGAACAATATTATCATTTAAGTTCTTATTTTTTGAATATGCAACTATCATTTTCTGCTTATAGACATGGGGGAATTTCTCTTGAAGGCTCTTATAGTGGGCATGAACTATCTTGCTTGCTCGTTTGCTGGTTGTATTAAACGGGACAACAAAGGGTGCTATGCCTACATTATGATGAATATTTAGTCCTATAGGTCTTGCTGTATTCAATGTCTCAATCTAATGGGCCTCCCTAGATTGACGGAATTTGGTAGTTTGGTAGTTTGGCAAGTCAATTTCTATACGCTCAATTGGGATTAGGGTGAGATCGTCTATTGAATGGTCATCGAGGTTGAAATGATTAGAAACAGGCTTGTCTTTCTTTAATTTGATGTCTGACCTATGAGCATTAAAGCGAGTTCGTAAATTATTCTTAGTTTCTCCTACATATTGTTTTGGGCATTTCTTGCATGAAATAAAATATATTACATTCGAATGTTCACATGTTAGATGTTCCTGGATCGGGTACCAATTATTCATAGAGTTGCTTACAAAATAATGAGTTTCTGATATAAAGGGACATGTTTTGCATCTACTGGACAAACATGGAGCACTTCTTAAACCTGGAGGTACTTCGGCATAAAGTGTTTTTAGCTGCTATCTGTGCTAAGGTGGAATTTTTTATGTTTCGTAGAAATCGTTTACCCACGCTCTTTCAGTTTTGAGAAAACAATCGTACAGGCTTGGTTGAAATCAGAAGATCTTGTACAAATTCGATGAAATCGTAAAACTTGTGACTTAATTATACCAGAAAAGGTATGTTTTGGGTGAAAGGAGCTCTTGTGCAAGAGTTGATGAGTATCAGTTTCTTTGAAATACACTTTAATATCCAGTTTATTTGTTTCTGCTATGGAATCTCCCTTAAAGACTGTGGTATCGAGAAAGTCTATGCTTTTGTCACTCACGTTTGCGGTTAGTTTGATAGAAGGATGGTGGTTGTTGAGAATTTCAAAGAATTCCGAAAACTGTTCGATAGAATAAGTCCAAACCATAAAAATGTCATCCAAAAAGCGTCCGTAAAAAAGTGGGTCAAATGAGGGGCAACACCTCACCTTCCCCCTCTGCCATGAAAAGGTTTGCGTACGAAGGGGCGAATCATTTGCCCATTGCTGTCCCTAAAGTTTGTAAATATGTTTTACCATTAAATGTGAAATCGTTTCGACTAAGACAAATCTCTAAAAGCTGTAGAATTGCATCGTCGGGTCTGTTTGGATCTGGGTTTCTATTAAAAGCTTTACGAACTGCCGTTAAACCAGTTGTGTTATCGATATTGGTATACATAGAAGACATAATTTGTTAAATGTCGATATAATCAAATGAAAAATTTAAAATTGCTGTCTGTCAATGTACGAGGTAAGAAAAGAGATTAAAGCTTTATAGATGGTTTAAAGATCAGAATCCTGATATAATATTAGTACAGGAAACTCATAGCTGTTCATACAGAGCAGAATTGATTTTTGGCTCATATCTCAAAATATTCAAGACTTCATAGAAAATTGTTTTTCTGACCATTCGGCCATATATGTTCACATAAATTTGCCCAGTAATAAAAAAGGTCCTAGTCTATGGCCATATATGTTCACATAAATTTGCCCAGTAATAAAAAAGGTCCTAGTCTATGGATTTTTAACTCTCTGTTAACAAAAGATCAAAATTACAAGCAATTAATCATTAAAAGTTTAGATAATTGGAAAAATGAATATTTCGATATTACAGATCATAATGGTCTGTGGGAACTTATTTATTTGTTACTTAACCTGTATTTATTTATTTATTTATTTAAATTATTGATTTATAATCTGACCAGTATTTATTTAATTTATGATATGACCTGTATCATTTTATGTATAAAACTCTGTATATGATTCTTTAAAATAAAATTCTAAAAAAAAAAAAAAAAAAAAAAAATTAAAAACTCGGAAGAAAATCGACCCAAAAATGCGACCTCCCAAGCCGAATATCGGCTTTGCAAATATGTTCCAATTTATATTCATTAACAACGTTGCCACTACAGAAGGGTCACATATGTAGAAATGTTGCTGCAGATGATAAAGCCTCGTCTGTATACCCTATGGAAAAATCGAAACAAGAAACTAGAGTCACACGTGGCACAGAGTGGGACTTTGCTACTGTGGCAAATTACAAGAGACTTAACCTGTTTGGAAGGTTGTCAAATGGAAGTAGACGCCAGAAATGAAAGTATCCACGAATAGCCAAAGTCAATTACCTTTGACATTGTAAAGGCGAAGGTCAACAAAGTTCAAGGTCATGAGATTTAACTCCTCAAATTTTCAAAATGCATACGCCTACAAAACCAGTTGCTTATATGAAAATATAAATAGATAGCCAAGGTCAATGACCTTTGACTCTACAAAGGTCAACAAAGGTCAATGTCAAAAATAAAAAATATGGAAATTCTAAAACCCAATTTTTTTTGAATTATCAAACAGAAACAACTGAGCTTTTAACACAAACTGGCTAAAACAATAGCTAGAATGGATTCGGTGGCCCGTGTGCTAGATTTGTTGTGGTGGCTAAGTTTAGCCTTGGGTTTGTTCAATGGAAAACGTGCTAACGATAAAGAGAACTGTATTTTAAAGTGTATGAAAAGTCAATTATGGGCCACTTGACACCTCTGTGAATGTTTCTATATAAGTAGTTATAGACTTTTCAGATTGAACGCACATAGGCATAAAACGTTCCATTTCATTCCACGTATTTATGCCTATGTGCGTTCACTCTGAAAAGACCCATCTATTCCCATCATACACACACCTTATATTTCACCATACAAAGTCCCATCATAATACACACCTATTATATCCCTTATATTTCACCTTCAAATTACACATTTTAAAAATGATTTATTTATATGAAAACCTTGTTTAAAAACAGAATGAGTTTAATTTTAAAACACGAACAACACAAATTCGAAGGAGACGGATTCTTCTCAGCTCTATCATCTCTCATCCCAAAAGTAGTCAACTTTGTCTCAAACAACAAATCCCTTATTTCTTCTGAGAAGCAAGCTCTTGGATCTGTAGCAAAAGCAAGAGTAAATATAAGCGAAACAGTGAAAAGATCTAACGAGTTGAAAGAATTACAACATATAAGAGAAATGCGAAATAAAAGATTAGAAAACAAAAAAGGCAATGGTTTTAAAATTATTGGATAAAAATGTCAATGCTCAAACTCCTAAAACTTATTTCGGGTCCGACAATCAAAATTCATTAGGTTCTCTTCCCGGATTTCCATGGGCAAAATATCCTGGAGATAAACATCTTCCAGGTCATAATTACACTGGTCCAGGTACAAGGTTAGATCTGCGATTAGACCAAAACGATTAACCCAAACCAGGTGAAGAACCAGTCAATAGAGTTGACGCAGCAGCATTCAAACACGATATACTATACAGAAATAAAGACATAACATCCAGACACGAAGCAGACAAACAAATGATAATCGAACTTGAAAATATTCCAAATCCAACTTTCAAAGAGAGAATTCAAAGAGCATTAATCATTAAACTCTTGAAAGCAAAGATGAAAATGGGTATGGGAATAGCAGATGAAATACACAAAGAATTTAGAAACTTAACTGATTAATGGGAGGTAACACTGTTTTTTGTTTACTTCAAAGTAAAATACCAACCAGTTTATACACGGTTAGTTTTCTAGAGAATTATTGATTTAATAATTACCTTCAACGACCGGTAACAATCAGTCGTCTATTGTTGACTGGATATATGTCACGCTATAATTAACATATCATACGTGCCACGTCAGCACAGACAGTCTATACTTTTTACTGTTAGTAGTGTCTCAATTTTTGTTACACTGGCAGATAAGGAATTTAATCATACAAAATCAAGGTATGTTCTTTGTTTAATTTAATCCTAAGACGAAAGGGTGGAATTAAGATGATATGTTATTTGTTGTTTTTCAAAATATCAATTTTTTTCTATTCCAGACACAAGTTTAATAGATGTCAACATTTCATATCATGAAGAATATTTAAACCATCGCAGGCAGTGGGGAATACTACCAAACTCTGTGACAAATATCCGAGGATTCAAAATTGTTGATACAGATTTCGAAAATAGAACAAGTGCCGAAGAACAAGCATTTTGGAAAAGGATAAAATATGTGACATATATCTACCGATTCTACTGAGAGCGGTCGTGACACTTGACCCTTGAACTATGACTGGTAATAGTGTCTCTGAAGTATATCTAGCGATTCTACCAGGAGCGGTCGTAACCCTTTGACCCTTAACCCTTCACCCTTGAACTCTGAAGTATATCTACCGATTCTACTAGGAGCGATTGTAACCCCTTGACACTTACCTTGAACTATGACTGGTAAGAGGGGAGATAACTCTGAAGTATATCTAGTAGAAGTGTATATCAATGTAATTGTTTATGTTTTAAATTTAAATAAATCAATTATGTTATTACTTTCGAGTTCTGTATATTCCTTTAATACATTACAAATTTCATCCATTTTATTCGTTTCAAATGATTTTTGATTTGCCGAAACTCTTCCCCCTTTAATAGATTGTCTAATAAAATGTCTTATAAAAGGGTTAGTGTATGAGTAAACTTTTTCTACGTTTTGTTTTTCCTTATGTTTCGGAACCATTCTAGTAGTTTCATACCATTCTTCTTCAACCATTTCTTTATCGTAATGATACAAATAATACCAACCCTTTAAAGATAGAGATGGAGCCCTTAGATTATTAGAAACATTCTGGAATACAACGTCTTTCATGACCTTGTTGTATTTTATCAAGCATGCTCCAAGACATAGGGTATCTCGTTTCGCGTAAGGTTCCCATTCATGTCTTAAAGATTCCCAGTTATCTGTATATTTTGAAATGTCTACATCCACGATCTTTCTCAAATTCATTGGTAGATTAGATGAATTTCCCCATGCCGCTAAACTAGATGTTTCGTGTTGATAGGAACATGTGAAATTAATATGTTGTAAATAATCAGAGTTACCGGTTATTTCTTTCTGTCTTTTCCATTTTTTTCTGTAAATCTTCATCGGTGTATGGATTAGATAAAGGTAAAGATAGAATGCCTCTAGGTGTTATGAGTGGGCATTGTGTTAGTTTTTTTACGTTTTTGATTATGATCTAGTTATCAAAACCACTACCGTTATGAGAAATCAATGTTAATCTCTTTTTATCATATTACTCTAAATATTTCAACATTTGATCTCTACAATCTGTACCTACAAATATTTCTACTATATTCAATATTCTATCATAAAATTCTTCTGGAACTTTATCAGTAGGATTTAGATTTGGAAAGATACTTTTAATCATCTCTAACTTTTTTCTTGGTTTTTCTTAATTAAATAATTTACAGGAATAAGGAATTGCTTTATGCGTTTCACTGTCTGAATATGTTTCACAATCCCAAGCGAATAAAGTATCATCATCACTCATATTTGAAAATACGTTTAGTTTCAAAGGTGATACTTGTGTTACGACATTATCATCTCTACATGTTTTCCATACCTGTTCATAATAATCTTCTAAACTAGTGTCCAAAAGAAACGATACCAACTTATTTTCAAAATTGTTTTTTACTAAGTGAATTGTCTAATATGAAAACATGCCAATTCGTATTGCACATCCCAAACACAGCATAGTCGATAAAAATACCGGGAACACGTGATCACTTCCGGGAAAAAACGTAAATTTCGTGAAAGTGACATTTCCCTGTCTAGCATGTTCTGCACGTGCATAAAAACTGTATAAAACGGCTCATCAGACACGTTGATATCACAGCAACAAAAAGAACACAAGATATGCCACTTTTGACAGCCATCGACAGAGAGAGAGCCGTTGGAATGGTCCAACAACGAGCGACACACGTCGACGTCGTCAGAAGGTTGGGCTGCGCACCCATCACTATCACCAGGTTGATGCAGCGGTTACGTCAGACA